CGGCGGTGCCGCGGTCTGCGTCGCCGCCGCGGCTCCTCGGGCACCGGCTTCCCCGGCGTGATCGACTTGCAGCGTTTGTCACGTGCTGGTCTTCAGTGTGCTCAAGCGAATGCCTCGCAAATACATTTAAAGCGTCTTCTCCCACAGTAGCCGAGCTTTCTGTTACCGGTAGCGAAGTGCTTCACTTCCACTTAACGCGCTGCCAGCCTAGAGAAGAAACCCAACCAGGAAAGCGCTAGCTCGTCTCCTAGTATAACTGCGGCAGCTGTGATAAATTTTATGTTCAAAGATGCTGGAATCCCTTCTAACGTATTGGAAAAGTTAAAAGGCGGGTGTAGTCACTGCATCGAGCTGGTTTCAAAAAATTCACAATAGTCTCTCCCCGCTGAGGAAGTGGTAGGACTGAATCGTAAGACTGCAAAGTCTTTAGGACAAGTGAGTTAAATCTTTCTGTATTTACATAGTGCTTGCTGGGAATATACACTGCTATAAATCTTGAATAAATTGTATGGTGAGAAGTTTAATATTTAGATCTGAACGTACATCCTATGTTTGTGGGAACCATACTGTAGTTTCACAGCTAAGAAGAACTGAAATGTGAATCTATTTTAATTTGCCCATAAAACATAGATGTGAAACCAGGTGAGTACTGGTTGCATCCACTCCTTTACGTCGCCAGAAGAGAATGGTTTTAAACTGTTGTTGAGAAAAAGAACGTCCTGCTTTTGGTTTGTTCGATCAATGACAACAGAGGCTGTCATTTGTGTTTACCCAGCCATCGCTACCGTCTTGGCTAGGTGAAGCTGCTGAGGGCCGTTTTGGTAAAAGAGAATTTGCAGGCAAATCCGGCACCCACCCACAAAAAGTCTGATGCTACTGATTAATTAGTGTAGTATAAGAAAGCAATTAATACAAGGGAGAAGCTTAGCTTGGGGACTTTAATTTTCCCCCCACTGCAAGTAATGATACGCTGTGGTCATTGTCTGCATTCCTAATAATATATATCTAAAATGAAGAAACTATTCAGTTCTTACTGTTTTATACACTTTATCTGCTCAGTTTGTTAGACAATGAGTCTGAACTGTGGGTAGAAATATTTTTCTTCCATTAAGAGCCTACACTGAGCAAATGCTGCTACTCCACTGTGATTTGACTACTATCACTTATTTTTAAGCCCAAATGGAATAAATTAGATGGTCCAATTTATTTTTCAGCATACCTTACCCAATGTTTTTCCTGCAACATGGGTATCACATAAGAAGTGTTCTGGAAATGCCTAGTGAAAGTTGAATTCCTCTCCAAATCTGACAGTAGTAATTTAAAGTGTAGATCATTTGTTTCGTCTTGAAAAGCCTCTTTGGTGTTTCGGGAAAACAGATCCTTCCTCCATCTG